CTCCCTGTAGAACCACATCATCATGTCCCCTCCCTGTAGAACATCATCATGTCCCCTCTCTGAAGAACCACATCGACATGTCCCTCCCTGTAGAGCCACATCATCATGTCCCCTCCCTGTAGAACCACATCATCATGTCCCTTCACCTTGAAGAACCACATCATTCATGTCCCCTCCCTATAGAACCACATCAACATGTCCCCGTCCCGTAGAGCCACATCATCATGTCCCCTCCCTGTAGAACCACATCATCATGTCCCCGTCCTGTAGAGCCACATCATCATGTCCCCTCCCTGTAGAACCACATCATCATGTCCCTTCCGTGTAGAACCACATCATCATGTCCCCTCCATGTAGAACTACATCATCATGTCCAGTGCCCCTGTAAAACCACATCATTATGTCCTAGAACCCCCACTGGAGGGACCACACAAGTCACCTCCAGGACACAGAAACCTGTCCAGGAGACATAGACAGCGGTCTTCAGGTTTAAACAAGTGAGATTTTGTTGCCTTGAAATAAAACCTATTCCTCTCAAAGAAAATAATATGTTTCATGTGAAAAAACACAATCCCAAAAATGTCTTTGAAAAATAAGTTATCACACATAGTATCAGACGTGTGACATACTTGACTCTCTGGAGCATGTTCACAGAATGGTGTCACTACCATAATTCACAGTGAATTCTTCTCAATTACAGAGAGTTTGATAACACAGACTGATTCAATACTGCTACAGAGAAATAGGACCAAACAAATTGTAGATAAGCTGCAATCATCGCAATGTTCAAAAGTAAGCATGAGAGTCAACATATCCTTATCAGAGCCTAAAGTAGACTAACAACTAGTCTCTGAAATGAACATATTTTACTGAAAAAAGTTCATAGTAAAATAAAAAAAATATATAATGAAAAGGAGCCCTGAGACTTTCTTCATTTTCAGAAGCTGAGGAAATCTAGACTTGCCACATTTTCTGGACTTGTGTGGGCTTTCTTGGATATATTTGCTTCAGGGTCTGTATGACAGACTAAGCCTAAAGTTAAAAGTCCCTTGATTCAAGTAGGATACAATGACCACAGATTCCCCTATCTAACAAATACCGTCATGGTCATGTATTATACATACTGTTTACCATCCCAGCAGATATTTAGCCTGTAATTAATCCAGGGATAGACATGGCCACTAGTCTGAGAGTCCAACACAAGTGAAAATCTACAGAGAATCTAGATATTATACATAACCACTAGTCCAACATGATCTGCAGACTAGGTGAACATAACCAACGGTGTCTTGCACTGTAAACCTGTCCAAGCAGGTCGAACTGATGGTTGATAGCAAGAACACCAATCCATGTAACATCACGAGACACCGTCAACCTCATCCTATACAAGTAGGCTCTAACATCACGAGACACTGTCAACCTCATCCTATACAAGTAGGCTCTTACATCACGAGACACTGTCAACCTCATCCTATACAAGTAGGCTCTTACATCACGAGACACTGTCAACCTCATCCTATACAAGTAGGCTCTAACATCACAAGACACCGTCAACCTCATCCTATACAAGTAGGTCAACATCACGAGACACCGGCCAACCTCATCCTATACAAGTAGGCTCTAACATCACGAGACACTGTCAACCTCATCCTATACAAGTAGGCTCTAACATCACGAGACACCGTCAACCTCATCCTATACAAGTAGGCTCTAACATCACGAGACACCGTCAACCTCATCCTATACAAGTAGGCTCTAACATCACGAGACACCGTCAACCTCATCCTATACAAGTAGGCTCTAACATCACGAGACACCGTCAACCTCATCCTATACAAGTAGGCTCATACTACACACATGGAGACTGGATATTCATTCTACTGTAAAATTACAATGACTTTACAATTAAAGACTTTTACCAAACATACAATACTCAAAGTTAAAGAACATCTGATTTTGTTCATGACAATAGTACTGTAACAAGGCAATGAAAGATTCACTTTTGTCTTGTGATGAACTGGGGTGTTCTTAACGTCTTTTCAATAGAATGTTAACGAAGAGTGAAACTGCATGTTTCTGGCTGGAAAAATGTGCGTCACGACAAAGAGGGGATTATTGCATGAGATGAATAATAATCACTCAAATATTTTTTCAGTATTATGATAAAGCTACTGATCAAAATCTCATTCGGGTATTACTTGAACCTAATCCTGATAAAAACCTAAAAAGAAATTATATTAATATTCATTTTAAAGAAATTAAAAATCATCATTTCACATCAGACATAATGTAATTACCCGACAAAGCTGTCAATTTCAATCACCCAGTAATGAACATTTATTCATAAACCATGCAATAATTCAATGAAAATCACCAACATCAGAACAAAAAATACCAACACAAAGACCGCCATATTGGCCTAGCAGTCTAACTGTCTCAGCCCCCATCAAATTCTCCAGCTAATTTCGGCTACAGGAATCCCCTAAGACTATCAGCTAGCCTCCATACTTTAAAAAGTAAATAAAACACTACAATCATTTAAAATAATGCAAAAATAATCATGTATTTGAGAAAGGGTTTTAATGTATGTTTGCACAAGAGTTTGAAGTAGGTGATCTCACAGCTAATGCGTTGACAACTGCAAGTGAGTTATAGGCTCAATAGAGCCTAGGGGCCGAGGAGCAAGGCTAAGATTACCCATGTGGGGCTCATAACATGAGAGAGAGAGAGAGCAGTGGCCTGGTTCAGCTCTTGGAGACACGATGACTCATGCTCGATGCCATGCTAACACACACTTTGGTAATTCAAACGAGTTCCTGTAACAAGATCTCAAGTGTAGAAAACAGATATAAAAACACGTGTGACATCGTTATTATCAAATTCCCATGTCATTTATGTTTGGGATTGCTGGCGACTCCGACATTTTATGTTGATAAATATAGGAAGTAGCAATGATGGCAGGTCCTCTTTTCACACAACTACACATCAATAACACAGTGTCAAAACAATGAAGGAATTATTCAGTGTCTGACCTCCATTTGTCCAAGGCATTAACAATCTTGTAGCTTTCAACATGTGTTGCAAATAAATTCTGGTAACTGATGCCAGTGTACTTACAAAGATGTCATGTTAAGAATAACATTTATCACTAGAGGCGACAAGAGGATACACGATTAAAACAACTTATCGAAATGATGCAAAATTAATCAAATTATCAAACGTTCCAACTTCCTTTTACATGACATGCTTGTACAGTTTTTGAGGAAGTAAAATTTACAAAACGTAATTAAAATATACCATTTGATAACAGTTCTGACAATAATATTTCAGTGAGCGAGTGAGTTGGGTTTCAAACCACAGAAGCAATATTCTTGCTTTGTAACACAACCATGACACCATGGGCTTCACACTTTACACCCATGTAACATGACATTACTCCTGCCATGATACAGTACACACGAAAAGCGTAAGTAAACTATTTCCCAAGCATCACATCAATATATGTGTGGTAAATGCCTTGATGCCTTAATAATTCAGCTGCTCACACACCGTTATCCAGAAAGACCTCATTGAAATATAAATGATAAAACATCCGACAGCAACAAAGATCATAAATTGTGAAATGTCAAAGAGAATATACAACAAATGCATAACTTGCGACGTAGATTGTAGAGTAATTGACCCACCACCGAGTATACTCCTGGCCCAATCTATTAAAAGCTTGCCATTATATACACATTTCCTTATCAGTATTGCATGGTGGCTGAAATATGTATACCATGATGCATTAAGCCAATAAAGAACTATATGATAAATTGTTGCATAGTCTTAGCTGACTGACAGATGACACAGAGGACATAATTTATGCAAGCCAACTTTAATTATAGCAACGCTTCAGTAGAGATCCTTAAATCATTGTGAAGCAGGGATCTATACCTAAACACTGCCTTATTAGTATATCAAGTTGTGTTCCATACATCGCGGGCACTCCATCCACTGTAAGATGATATGTAACAGCTCTGTACTTTTAACGAGTTGTGAGAAGATATTCAATCAGGATTTGAAACTTGTATGACAGAACAACATGGACCACAGACTACTAATGACAGCAAGCCCTTTGCTGTTTCTGATGGCCACAAGCCAAAGGACCAGCAGCTACATCAACCCCTGAACTTGATAAGACATCACTGTCCACTCAGTGTTACCACAAACATTCAATTCGGCTGCATGTAACCATGAACTGACTATTCAATAGGCACACGAGAAAACTGCTTCTATGGTTGTTTAACCATCAATACTACAGAAATGGAGAGACTTGAAGCCAGAAGGTATTATACTGTCACTTCATTCATTCAATCGTGACACAAATTTTGAGATGTGTACCAAAACAAATAAGGTTGTAAGAGTTGTCCCCCTTTAGCAACATCTTGCATTCATCAGAGCTCTCTTTTTCTGATATTGAGTAACATCAGGTTGGGATTTGAGCTTGGTCGTCTGCAAAAACAAGCCTGCAAACATATCCACTGGGCTATCTCACTGCATCTTAATTCCCATAACAGGACAACAAGCATGCCTAATTAGTAATGTACGATATTACATAGTCCTGCACATCAGCAGGTTCTTGAGTCTAATGTGACTAACTCTTCTCAAAGAGAGACCCTGTACTTGTAGGGCCCATATCCAGTAGTGTTGCAGACATTTGACTCAGTGTGCATGTAGGGTAATCCTAAGTCATATACATCATCAATTTTGAAATCACAGAAAAACAAATTAAGGATGACTCGAAGCCAACATCCAGTGACTATAAAATGTCTTTAGACCTTTTGAGTACCGTGTGTGTATATGAAGTGCCTAGCTGTTTCCTCAGTAGTAACTACTGGTACTGAGTACTATCATGAAGCAAAGGGTGGCTGAGAGGAGTGGGAGGTCTGTCTAATCGGAGCAAGTGGTCTGAAGACAACCATGAACACCTGCAGCAGCATCTGTAATGAAGTACTTACCTGGCTCTGGGCAGGAACATGGCTCCCTCGATGAACACAGACCCTGACAACAGGATGTACCAGCAGATGGCCAGCTCCCCTTGGCTGAAACACACAGCTTCTGCTAGTTATCAAGTAGCATCAGGAACAGATCAAGACTTATCTGAGATTACAAACTAAGTACCTACTTATAGCAAATCCAGAAAACGTAATTGGTGGTTCGACATCAAATCGTACCATTGCTTTAAAAACAGTAACTTCCATTAGGTATTAAAGACACTTTTATATATTTTGGTCCTCTTACAACAAAACAAGTATGAATCAAGACATTTTCAAGCCACTAGTGTGACATAAGTGGGGTGTTCAAAAAGTAGTAAGCCTCACCTACAAAATGATAGAAATGAAGCTGTTTTTATGTTTTATTTTTCTACATATTATCTGTCAACCTCAAGCAAATTGGTTTTGCTATGTTCCAGCCTCACGAGCCCCATTTTGTTTGACTTTTTATCTTGGTACCCCCCAAAAAACGCAAAATCTGCAATAAATGCATCACAAACTTCAGGAAACAAAATATGCAAGAAACATTTTGTATGTTTGAGACAGGCAGAAGTCCGCTAGAATCAAACGTAGATATTAAGTGCATAAAAAGCAATTTGAAACTACCATCGCTTGTTAAAGTGACTCCCCTCCTTCATGTTTACTGAAAGAGCTTGTTTTAGAGACACTACCCATCTCCTTTCAGATGACGTAATCATAAGGACATAACTTATTCTAATGTTTCACTTATTCATACATGATGCCAAGGGTTCAAACTAAATACTGAATGGTCACACAAGTGTCAGCTATCAATATATTGTAAACAGTGCTAGCCTGAGTATCCACATGCAATGTTCTTGAAAGATTAAAATGAGGGTGTCCTTAAAAAACCAGCCCCCATTTAAATATAAATCAAGCAATCCAAATCTTGGAACGTTGATTATGACGAGATGTCATCCAATACTATACTGAACATATTTTATATGATACTATCTGGGGGCATACCATTATCCAAGAGGTACCAAATGACAGATCATTTTTTATTTTCTGCAATTTGTAAAGAAATATTCTACCCCAATGTGTTGTAATGACTAACATCTCGGTAATCACATTACCTACATATGTGAAATTTTGGATATGGCTTTGCTAATGATTCCTTCAAAATAAAATGGAAGCTTTTCAAACATTGGACATGGAGAATATAGTTAGACCGACTACTTTTTGTAGGCCCCTCGTATTTTCTGGCATAAAAGTCAAGAAGTACATAGTCTATGATGTCAGCTACAGCCCGTGTAGATATGGTAGAAGTGTCTAGCTGTGGCTTATAATTAGGCAGCAATGGCACATAATCTGGTGATCACATGCTTGATATCATATGAACTTCAGGATGTGTTTGTGATCCCTCAAGAAAAAATGTTTAGCTCAATGATGTCATATTCCACTAATTTAATTGTGTAGTGAGTTTGGAAGCTTTCAGGGAAAGCTAGATAATGAGAAAAAATACAATAAAAATGTTTCACGAAGTTTTCAACACAATCTCAATTCACTGACAGAAACTGAAAAGGAATCCCATAATGGCTTTGCATAATTATATTGCAAATGCATTGAATATTCCAACAATATTTATGGAAGCTGTTCAGTCTCCGGTCTGCCTGTATTGCTCTGCTGCATGTTTTATCATGCTTAAGGTCTGATATCTCATTCCATACCATACTTCCCTCTGATTCCTAAATGTATTCACTAGAAATTGTCTGGGAATAATGGTAATAACCGATGCCACTCGTCTCAATTCTTTAAACAAGTTTTCCAGGACAACAAGTTTACCAGCATAGTCTATTTTAGCCGAAGTCACACCTCAGCAGTAACATGGCAACTCCCGCCTCGAGACTTACATACATCATCAATTTTCTCAGCCTAACACTTGTATTATCTTGACTAACTCTCTCACACACCATGCAGATCATCAACATGTCCTTGCAACAAGGACTTTCAAGAAAACACAGCTTCAAGGAAAACACAGCTTCAAGGAAAACACTTCATATGAACAAAGTTTCCCAAGTATTCAATTACTTCTGGAACAGTGCATCTTGTAATAATTATTTGTGTAACACCAGGTTCAGTTTAGCTGGTAAATCAATGATTAGTTACAGCTCAAAACATAACAAAAACATTCCCCATTGCTATGGTTACCACAGCTTTTGAAGGCACAAAGATTGAAAAATAACCCTTTTAATTTAGGAAACAGTGTCTAGATCAAACTGCAATACCTTAGCTTCTCAGATTTGATCAACTTCGCACGTTTAACATGTGACACTTGGACAAAAATACCAGGAACCCAGAATAGCCTAACACTCATGCAGCAAACTGTTTACCAGAACTCTTAGTCACACACTAAACAGTTTCACAACTTCAGCAAACACATTTGTCCCTAGTGGTTCCTTGCTGAAAATGCAAAACTTCAGTTTTTAGTTTCAGCCATTTTTACTCAAACAGATACCATGCAATCCATGTGGGTGTTTACAAGATAACTTGTTATTCTTCAACTCATAGCCTGAAACCCCGATCTTGCATGTTTCTTATCAGACTTAAAACACACACAATGTTCAATACAATATAGGCAGAATCATTATGATAGACATATTATATACCACTCCAAGCAAGTCAAAGAGTGTTCTTATAAACATATATTACTTGAGCTGAAACTAAGTACATGTTCTGCCATTTGTCTGTTAAGATTCTGTAAAGTCCAGTAAACCAACGGAACTAGAGTCTACCCCTAAACACTAAATTCTACGGAAACGCATCCACGGGTCCTTGTATGGGTTAGTTGTTAAGCATGTTTTTCGACAGACAGCTGCAAAGGCATCTCTGAATTAATTTTTTGCACATAACATTTTCTTATAACCTTTATACAAATATCAACAGTGTCACATCACAAGATATATTCTCTATGTAAAATACCACAAGTTATCAAAAGACCAAACTAAGCAAGTCCTGCGTGTGTATGAGGCTGGGCTACGTAACAAGCCATCAGATGTTACTCGCAGCCTTAGATGAAGATGCCCCCTCCTTCAGTTTCTACCCCTCTATTATACCAATACAGTAGGTAATTGATCCAAGGCAGCATCCCACAATCAGCTGATACCCAATGCCCTGCATGTGTGCATGTGCATAGTAGTTCGTCATACACAGGCTCATGCCGCACGTCAAACAGTGCAACATGTGCGCAAGAAACGTCATAAAAGACCTGGGATCGTGTTATTTCTCTATTCTTGAACCAAGGTATGAGAAACAGCCAAGGGGAGTTTTTGTGTTGCCAGGAATATCTTCACCACTCTCTGAATAGATTCCAGAGAGGGATTGAGACCACGCTTTGGCGTCTCATACATCTCTTTAAGGCTTTACAGTAACAATGCTATTAGAAGAATCAGTACTTCAAGAATTTTACCTGATCTACTTAATGCATACAATGATCCCTAAAGTTCATTTGAGTGTGGTGCCATTTTACCTGTCAATGAGACAAATTTATAATGCAATTGAATATGTCGTTAAGTGCACTGAATATTGCATCTCTTTTAGAAGGGGAAATGGCGATAGATCATGTAGCAACGATAATGAATTAGAAATGATAATGAACTGCCGTGTGGTGAAGGATCCATCTCCTTTTGCCGGGAACAGGCACAGCTAATCTCAGATTATCTTTCCGGGTTTATTTCGGGAACCTACTTGGCAGCATCCCCAACTTAATTTGTCTGTTGATGTTACGATGTCAACAACTCCACTTAATTGTTTGTGTGGTGGCTGGAAAGCTTGATTTGGCTACATGCCACACAAGCCACTTATAGCCCCATTATCAGGACTCACTTATTACATTCCGTGATCAGCGATAACTAGCTCTGGTTATTGACAGAAAATCTGTGTTGTGACATTAGGAGCTAAACTCTGGGATACTGATAGCGTGGATCACTGTGAATCCTTCCTCCTTTCGTGAACACCCACGGTTGTTTCGGTCTGGCAAACCATGCATGTGCTAGAGTGAATGTTGTTTTATGCTTAAGTGCATTTGTCTTGTCTGTTGTTAACAGTGCACTCAGCAATATTCCAGCAATATGCCACTAGCGTGCAGATACGTGAGTCTGGACTCGACAACCCAGTGATTGATATTGTGAACAGTGATCCATGCCATCTGAGTATCATGACAGACAATCAACCAAGTGGCCAACACTGACCACCTTGTCCATTACGTCGCCTCTTACAACCAGTATAGGTTGCTGGGGACCAACTCACCCTGGGGTCCCTAAGGGAATTAACTCTTCAGTCAGAAATACACCGTCTGCCTGGTCAGACAACCAAGACATAGTCAGGGAATGAAACAGACCTGCTCAGGAGCAATTATCATTACAAATTCACAAACTGGAATAAGAACAATTCTCCCTTCATGTGCCTTACAATCCTAATTCTACCAGTAAAATACAAGACTAAAATCTCTGAAATATACATACCAGTAAAGTATATGTTGAAATATACATACCCTGTAAATTTGAAATATACATACCAGTAAATGCACAGCTGAAATATACATACCAGTAAAGTATATCATTTGAAATATACATACCAATAAAGTATATCATTTGAAATATACATACCAGTAAAGTATATCATTTGCATCATGGAATTCATATCTGACCGTGTGACAGAGCGATCGGAGTGCTGGTTCACGCAGAGTTGACAGGGCCTCCATGCCATGGAGGTAGGCATAGATGATGTTGCAGTCCTGGAATACACAAGTATAATGATCAATAAACATACCTGCAGTCTTGGATTTGTCTTGAAAAAAATCATCATTGCATGTGAACAATTTTAGTAAAGAGTGTGTGACATAGTTGTGTTACTGCTGCTTTGAAAAGTATTTCAGTAATATTACAATGTGTCAGTTTTTTAAGGTGATGCAAATGTGAAATCGTAATCCCACAAGCATGAACTAAGAATCATTATCTTGGCGAACCTGCAATTAAAATCCATGATCAAAGGTTCTGGCACTCTGCAACTCACAGCAAATAGCACCACCCTTGACATCAAGACATCCATGGTCCAGAACCTTTGTAGGCTACTTAATCACTCATCAAAAATATTGAGTTTTTTTGTTTGATTTTGTTTCCAGAAGTACCTCAGCAATATCAAAATAATCAAAAACAACTTTCTTGTAGCCATGTATGGAATGGATTGTTCGTTTCCAATGGGAACAAAAGAAAACAATTACAGAACTGTAACCTAAATTTGTGGATAACCTTGATTCGTGGATCGCAGAAATAATCATGCTAGCTCGAAAATTAAGTCTCGACTGACGTCACGAAGTGGTACTTTTGATGTACATACAATGCTACGCCTCGCTGACAAAAAAGTTCCAATCTCTGCATTACATGCAAGTACACTAAATATAATTGTCCAGCATTGAGATAAATAGCCCCAGATCACTAATACCACCATTACCAAATTTTATTTTTACAAAATGTCAAGTAAAAAGATACCGTTAGCTCCAACATTCTCACTTCTCGTTGACTGCTTTCCTTGGTGTCAATACTTACTGCAGTGGGATGTCGTACATAGTGGTATAAAGTAACCGACTACGTAATCCACGAAACAAGGTGACGTCACATTTTGTGGGCACGCGAATGGGTGATGGCTTCCGTAAACAAACGTTTCATTCACAAGTGGAATATTAGACATTTTCAATTTGTTGAATCAATGAATAAAATAATCAGTGCGCATACAAAATGAAATCATGCATTTAAAATATGAATTTTGCACTCACTTCCCTTATATCCACAAATCAAGGTTACGCTGAGTGTAATATACTCCCTGTTCACAACAACATGTAAATGTCACTATATTGTGTACGACACGCGATCAAGTGGAATCACTTCATGTGTTCTAAGGTTTAACACTGAAGCCACTGATGTCAGTGTATATGCATGTCTTGTACACATTCTTTCAAACAAGCACTTCCTGACAGGGAAGCTTGACATTTCACAAAAACATCTCCAATACTTGCTGACAAGCATTGTTATCAAATGAAGTTGTCAGCTAAATTGTAACCAAGAGAACTATGCAAAATACTTCCTCAGTGGCGATGTCCAGCTGAAGACTAAACAATTGCCAAATTGGTACATACCATAACATTTGAGAGAATTTATTGAAAGACTGGAATACAAGGTCTTCTTTTCATGTTTAGGTCTCTGCATTTTTAAATAATACAAGGCAAGTCTTAAATACAAATTTCATAAAGGTCTATAGGTTCCCAATCTGATGATTCTTTGAACAGGTGAATCAAAACCATAAAAATATTTAGAAAATCTATGACAACAACATGGTCGCTGCTACTGATTGTATGCCCTGTATTTTTGTCGCTGCAATCTGGCCTACAAAACATTGATCAAATATAAAACCACTTTACACACACAGCTAATTAACATGATAATTACCTAGGTATATGTAAATATTTACAAGTGCTCTGCAGCTGCACATAACCCTCAACTGCAAAGTCTGATTGGTGGAACAATCAAGGGGAGGTAACTCTAGGGGGCATACACACCCACAGCCTTCACCTTATAACAACTGACTGCAATGTCCACACAACTAAATAATTAAATATCAATAAAGGAAACAGAACTAATTCCCTGCATGCATCAAGTGTAACAATGTTGGAATGGCATACAAAAAGTGTTGCTATTTAGCAATCAGTAACAGTAGGGTAACACGAAATAAATAAATCAATTACCCAATCTGTTGTGGCAGATTTTTGTAAACCTGCAATTCAATTTGTGCAGCATAAACAAGCCCATCACACTACATGCCCCATGGACGACTTGTACATATGTTGTAATAGTTACACTTGCCATAAACTGTAATCATATGGACTATTTCTGGTAAGAGAGAATTTCAACAGCTGATACATCATAAATGCCTGGTTTATAAATATGTCCTTTATTATCTCCACTGATGTTGATGAACACTCTAAACATTGTCAATTGACATTTTAGATAAGTTCATAGAGCATGTCTTGAGATAATGAATTTTTCATAAATCATGAATTTTTCATAAATCATTGCAATAGCGTAGTTTCATAATCACCTTCAACAACTGTGACCAACAGGATATTTACAATAGTAAATGTTGATTTCATTGATGAAAGCGTTTATAAAAGTGTTGACACTGTTAACCATAACAGCTGAACTTGCTGAATACTTGAAGCAAACATGCACCCATCACGATTGCACTGCAGTCAATGAAGCTGTTATGTCAGGTGAAGTCATTCCAGAGTGTTAAAACAACACCATGGTCATCAATCGAGGGAGGAAACAGTCCATGTGTTAGCAAACTGGGCTGAATACTGAAACATTCATCCATGGTCACATAAAAATACCATCAAAAACCCTCAAGGTCTATAGGAACCCCCTTACCATGAAAAACCCTCAAGGTCAAGAGCAACCCCCTGACCATGAAAAACCCTCAAGGTCTATAGGAACCCCCTTACTATGAAAACCCCTCAAGGTCTATAGCAACCCCCTTACCATGTAAAACCCTCAAGGTCTATAGCAACCCCCTTACCATGTAAAACTCTCAAGGTGTATAGGAACCCCCTTACCATGAAAAACTCTCAAGGTCTATAGGAACCCCCTTACCATGTAAAACCCTCAAGGTCTATAACTAGGAACCCCTTTAAATCTGGAGCACTGCTCAGGAAATACTTTATATTAAGCATAGGACAACCACATATTCAGAAGTGAACTCTGCATCAGAGCTAGTTATAGATATTGGTCTGGGTGGTACATTGAAACACATAGCTATGCCGACATCCATCCCTTTAACACACAACTAACACCCACTCAAGAGCATACTGCATACAACCTATCGCAGTGTAATGCAAGCTGGAAAACACTCTAATAACATTCATCCAGTAGATAAGCTCCCATCCAAAAACAGCGCCAATCACATTTGCCTAATCCTCATCCACGTAACCTGTGCATGTAAACTGAGTTTATGTACATACAACCTGCCTGTCTGGGGTGCTATGGTAGCAGTGTAGATGCTATATATCCAGCTTCAATTCAGTTACTACACCCAGTGATGACACCTCTGTTGCACTGGGTGTGAGGGTGTATGGTTCAGCTACTACACCCAGTGATGACACCTCTGTTGCACTGGGTGTGAGGGTGTATGGTTCAGCTACTACACCCAGTGATGACACCTCTGATGCACTGGGTGTGAGGGTGTATGGTTCAGCTACTACACCCAGTGATGACACCTCTGATGCACTGGGTGTGAGGGTGTATGGTTCAGCTACTACACCCAGTGATGAAACCTCTGTTGCACTGGGTGTGAGGGTGTATGGTTCAGCTACTACACCCAGTGATGAAACCTCTGTTGCACTGGGTGTGAGGGTGTATGGTTCAGCTACTACACCCAGTGATGACACCTCTGATGCACTGGGTGTGAGGGGTGTATGGTTCAGCTACTACACCCAGTGATGACACCTCTGATGCACTGGGTGTGAGGGTGTATGGTTCAGCTACTACACCCAGTGATGACACCTCTGTTGCACTGGGTGTGAGGGTGTATGGTTCAGCTACTACACCCAGTGATGACACCTCTGATGCACTGGGTGTGAGGGTGTATGGTTCAGCTACTACACCCAGTGATGACACCTCTGATGCACTGGGTGTGAGGGTGTATGGTTCAGCTACTACACCCAGTGATGACACCTCTGATGCACTGGGTGTGAGGGTGTATGGTTCAGCTACTACACCCAGTGATGACACCTCTGATGCACTGGGTGTGAGGGTGTATGGTTCAGCTACTACACCCAGTGATGACACCTCTGATGCACTGGGTGTGAGAGGTGTGTATGGTTCAGCTACTACACCCAGTGATGACACCTCTGATGCACTGGGTGTCAGGGTGTATGGATACACTCCAGTGATGACACACCTGGATGCACTGGGTGTGTGATGCCCATTTCTGGTACTACACCCAGTGATGACACACCTCTGATGATGTTGCTGGAATATTGCTAAACAGCCAGTGATGAAAAACTAAACTCAGTCAGTCAGTACTACACAGTCTGATGCACTGGGCACTGGGTGTGAGGGGTGTATGGTTCAGCTACTACACCCAGTGATGACACCTCTGATGCACTGGGTGTGAGGGTGTATGGTTCAGCTACTACACCCAGTGATGACACCTCTGATGCACTGGGTGTGAGGGTGTATGGTTCAGCTACTACACCCAGTGATGACACCTCTGATGCACTGGGTGTGAGGGTGTATGGTTCAGCTACTACACCCAGTGATGACACCTCTGATGCACTGGGTGTGAGGGTGTATGGTTCAGCTACTACACCCAGTGATGACACCTCTGATGCACTGGGTGTGAGGGTGTATGGTTCAGCTACTACACCCAGTGATGACACCTCTGATGCACTGGGTGTGAGGGTGTATGGTTCAGCTACTACACCCAGTGATGACACCTCTGATGCACTGGGTGTGAGGGTGTATGGTTCAGCTACTACACCCAGTGATGAAACCTCTGATGCACTGGGTGTGAGGGTGTATGGTTCAGCTACTACACCCAGTGATGACACCTCTGATGCACTGGGTGTGAGGGTGTATGGTTCAGCTACTACACCCAGTGATGACACCTCTGATGCACTGGGTGTGAGGGTGTATGGTTCAGCTACTACACCCAGTGATGACACCTCTGATGCACTGGGTGTGA